TTCAAAAAAAACACCATTGTGCAATGGCTCAGGAATTCCACCTAGCTCTTCTAGAAACAGGGACATTCAGCAGGTGTAGTACAACGTGTCTGGGACATTAATAAGCATACGTAAAGATTATTGGAGAATTTCTGCTATATGTAGAAAAACCCCTAACTTCATGGAACCAGTTTATCCTCAGAATTTATAAATGACAAAAGGGTAGTTGGAGATCACACCGCGTGAAGAATTTAGCAGCTTCCTTACACAGAGTGGTTCTGGACTACTGACACATGTAGACGCATCTGAGTGAAATTAATACATTTACTCAAAGCTTGTCTTCACCACGCACACTCAAACGTTCACAGACTCTTCAGTCACTGTTGGTATGAGAAAGGCTTTGCTTTCATTCAAGTAACTCTCCCATTTTTCATGCCTGTATCATATTCTCAGCAGATTTCTCTGTGTTGTATCTTACTTTATAATTGTGGATTCTTCAAGTGCTGTTTCCATTCATCTGCCCATTCCTCTTTGAAAGTGTGGCAATGGACAGTAATGCTTGTCCTCCTCAGCATGCTCTCATGAAATTCCATTGAAACAGAACTTTAATGCTGTCCATATATATGTTTATGTATATATAAATTAAATAGTGATTTCATTTTATGGAAGTTGAGGATTCATAAATTCATACTGTATTATACTTTGATGGTCCTTTTGTAGCTGCTGCCATTGAGTTTATGTAGTTGCTGAAAATCTTAACTCCATCCTGAGTAAAGTTCCTTCCTAGCCTGGGCATCTGGAAGGACACCTAGATAAACCATTATGAAGTTGAGTATGAATTGTGACTTTCATACTTTAAATGATGTGATCTTTCATCAGTGGATCCTTTTCTGCTCCTTTCTAAGCCCTCCAGTTCTCTCACTCATCCACTTGCAACTGAAAGATACTAAATTAAAGAGTGTCTGTCTTAAAATACACATAGGCACATACATAGCTAGAAATAATAGAACAGAGTCATTTAAAGGAACTCTAGATGAGATGTAAAAGAAAGTGTAGATTTACAAATTAGCAGTTAACTGTGAAAGTTATAGTTAACATAAACATATGCTTAATGTGGTCTTTTAAAGTTTTCTGATGGTGTGCTAAGAGTTGTGCCACTTTGTTCAAGTTGTAGTGAATTCTGGAATTTCTGTTCTTTCTTTGACTACTTAAAGTACAACAACTGAGTAACTCAGAAAAGCAAAGCAAGCACCCTGATCTCCTGTGACTTGTGGTTGAAATATTCTCAATTTGGTAGAGTGAAAGCCCCAAATTAAGCGTCCCATTGGGTAATAATCCCATAAAAACTCTTCATTGCTAATACAGATGCACTGCAGCATTCAGCCAAGGTTGTAGCCTGGGCCTTTCTTCTCTCCCTAGCTGCCTATTTTAATAAATCTTAAAGGAGCAGAATTATTATGTAGGAGACTTATAGTACTTGGCCAATATAACCAGCCAACAACTTCAGAAGCTGTCAGGGGAAGAAAGACAGCAGAAAAGGTAATTACATAAGATCTGGTTTGTTAGAAAAGCAAATTAAGAATCCTGACTTTTTATTTCTTTCCTGTCACGATGAATCAGGCACTTTCCTCTTTAAATCAATAAGGCAGAGAAGACACAGAAAGACAGACAGATAAGACTATTACTATTATGTGGAAGACTGGAACTGCAAATTAATTTTGCAGCAGGTGGTGATATTAAGCAGCAAGGAATGTCCTGTGAGGAGCAGCTGAGGACTCTGGGCTTGTCTAGTTTGGAGAAAAGGCGGCTGCGGGGTGACCTCATTGCTCCCTACAGCTTCTTGAAGAGGGGAAGTGGAGAGGGAGGTGCTGAGCTCTTCTGCCTGGCTATCCAGTGATAGCATGTGTGGGAATGGCTCAAAGCTCCACCAGGGGAGGTTTAGAGTGGACATGAGGAAACAGTGCTTTACCAAGAGGGTGGTCAAATCCTGGAACAGGCTTCCTAGAGGGATGGTTGGTGCCCCGAGCCCATCATTGTTTTAAGAGGCATTTGGATAATGCCTTTAATGACATGCTTTAACTTTTGTTCAGTCCTGAACTGGTCAGGCAGTTGACTAGATGAAAATAGTCCTATTCTATTCTATTCTCAAAAGATATTATAAGAGCCAGAACACTACAGACAGGTTTTGAATAAGAATGCACAAATTAATGAAAACTTGCACATAGCACAAAATTGCATTCAACATACTCAATCTAAAGCATTTTAGTCAGATTTCCCTCAATTACTCTCTCATTGACAAAATATACTTATTATTTACCTCGATGCTGCCCTTTAAATAATATAAATATTCAAAGAAAGAAAAGACATGCAAAAGCAGAATGTCTTTATAGCATTTGCTGTTACGCTACAGAGAAAGGATGTCCTGAATTGATCAAGACAACTTGAGCGATCACAAGATTTTTTCACTTACGAAGATAATACCCTAATCTATGCTTAACTTTGCTTTGGAAACATAATGAGTTTTTTATTCACATGAGTGTGTGCATGCACATGTGTGTAGGAAGGGAGAAGTGTGCAACACACATGAAGCAAAATCTCAAACCCTGAATTTTTGGTAGGGGAATACTAAAGGCTTTAACGGCCACTGGGATTATACTGCTGCAGTCAGCTGGGTGTTTTTGCTGAGATCGGTGGGGAGTGCAGGGCCAGCTCGGCCCTGGCAGTGGCAGGCAGCTCTTCCCTGGGGCTTTCACCCCTGGGAGCTGTGTGGTGTGCTGCAGCTGGTCACCCAGAGGCCAGCAGAGCTGGTCAGGATCATGGAATCACGGAATTGTCAGAGTTGGAAGGGACCTCTAGAGATCATCTGGTCCAACTCACCTGCTAAGCAGGATTGCCCAGAGCACATCACTCAGGACTGCATCCAGGCAGGTCTTGAAGATCTCCAGAGAAGGGGACTCCACGACCTCCCTGGGCAGCCTGTTCCAGGGCTCCGTCACCCTCACTGTAAGGAAGTTTTTCCTCATATTTGAATGGAACTCCCCATGTTCCAGCTTGTGTCCGTTGCCCCTCGTCCTATTGCTGGAAACTACTGAAAAGAGTCCGGCTCCATTGTCCTTCAGCCCACCCTTTAGGTACTTGTAAATGTAGATGAGGTCTCCCCTCAGTCTTCTCTTCTTGAGGCTAAAGAGTCCCAGCTCTTTGAGCATTTCCTCATAAGGGAGATGCTCCAATCCCTTAATAATCTCTGTCACCCTACGCTGGACTCTCTCCAGTAGTTCCCTGTCCCTCTTGAACTGGGGAGCCCAGAACTGGACGCAGTATTCCAGTTGTGGCCTCACCAGTGCAGAGTAGAGGGGGAGAATGACCTCCCTCGACCTGCTGGCCACACTTCTCCCTATGCAGCCCAGGATCCCATTGGCCCTCTTGGCAACGAGGGCACATTGCTGGCTCATGGAGATCCTGCCATCCACCAGGCCCCCCAGATCCTCCTCCAGATCTCCCACGGGGAAACACTTCCTGCACAAGGACATACACCTTGCCACGCCACCGGCAGCTGCTTGTGGTCTGCCTCCAGACCCCGCGGTCACGGGAGAGAACAGGCCGGACATCACAGACCACCGGCACCCCCGCGCCCGCCGGTAGGGAGGGCACCGCTTCCCAAAGCGGCACCGGCGGCAGCGGGTCACCCCCCCCGCCAGGCTGTCCCCCGGCTACGAGCTGCGTCCTTCTCTCCTTCTAGACACAGCCCTCTTCCCCGCACAGCACCCACCCCCGGCAGTGGCGCGCAGCGGGGATCTCCGCGGGAATCCCCTCCCGGGGGCGGGGCGGCCCCCCCCCCGCCGTGGGCGTGGCCGCCCCGACCACGCCCATCCCCGTGCGTACGGGTGTGGCACCGCCCCGCCCCCGGAGTCACGCCCCGGAGGAGGCGGAGGGCGGGGCGGGCGGCGGGGCCGCTCTATCCAGGCGCGGCGGGCAGACTCGCTGTCCCCGGCCGGTATGGGCGGAGCGGCCGCCTCCTTCCTGTTTCCGCTCGGCAGCCCGGCGCCCTCCAGGGCCAGCGGTACCGCGGGGGGGTGGCGGCGGGCGGGAGTAAGGGTGGGCGGCGCGGCCCTCCCGCCCTGCGCCCCTCAGGCAGCGGCGACCCGTAGCCGGGCGGAGGGAGGCGCCGCCGGGGGCGGGGGGGGAG